GCTACTGCATTCAGTATATAATATTAATTTAGAGGTCCATGTTAGCTAGTGTTAAAAATTAATAAAATTCGCTCACTACTTTTAAACTATATTTTAAAAAGTGAAACATCTAGTATAAAAGATACTTTGAATTCCTGGGCTATATATTGGAATCGCTCGCTTCGCTCGCTATATTTTTGATGAATATCTGCTACTGGATTCCGTTTATATTTTTAAAATTTATTAAGAGGGTTATGTTTTTTTAACCTTTTTAATACTATTATCGATTCAGCCTGCTATGATGCCAGAAATCAATATTCTCATGTTTAAAAATGAAAGTTAATATTATAAAAATGTAACATAGTTTTTAAAAAGAGGTGGGGTGGGAGGGAGGGGTGATGGCCCCTCCTCTCTACTAGTATAGTGGGTTATGTCATAAATCTATATTTTCACTATTTAAAAAGGTTAATAGTACAAAAATGGAACATAATTTTTAAAAGAGGGGGGGGGCCTTCAATTTAGAAGGCTATGAAATAGCCTATTTTATAAAAAATATATGGAACATTGGAAACCTACAGACAATGGGAAAAAGCAGAATTTATATATATATAAATCATTGTTCTTTTTCAAAGAGGGCGAACAAACTACAGGGATCTTGTATTTACATTTAACGAAAATATCATAAATTGAAAAAAAACAAACAAAAATAGACTGCGTCTCATTAGATTGTATTCAAAATACTCAAAACTTGTATGACAACATTGTTTTTTCTTACTCATGGACGTTTCCATATATACATTTTCAGTTTGTGTGAGCACTTGGCTGTAATATTTTGAAATATCGGTGTCCGTCCGGTTTTTGGACGATTTTCAAACAGCATATTTTCAGAGGAGTAGTTGGCGGTGCCAATGAGAAAAAATCATCTGGGAACCGCCAAAATGAGTTCGCTAAAAAGTAAAATATGCCTGTGAAAGTCGAACTTTCGAACTTTCGAACGGACAGCACTTTCGATGGACATCTGGACAGTCCGAGAATGGACAAGTGGACAGGTGCCAAGTTCAGTTCGAGCCTTTTGAACAGGCAAAAATTTCTGGACCGCTCGGAGTATTTGCCATTTTGTCCACTTAACAACCAAAATATATCCTCATATTCTCATAGGTCAGAAGTTTTACAATTTTTTGTTCTTTTAACGCTGGTAAAACTGCCGACGGAACTCATTGGCACTCCACTGACAAGTTTCCCAATAGAAATTGTTCATGTTTCTTCCGCTCTTGACGACGGTCTCTACGCTGTTGCGTAATGCGCGCGTAGCCTGCGGCCATAACCTCTATAATTCCTTTAGAGTGCGATGCCGCAGCCGCCTTGTGATATTTACAGTAACCTCAATCCCTATTCGCCAGGCCCATTATATCATTTCTAAATAGTGGAAACACCAAAGACAAAGTGTTTGCAGTTTTACACACTATTAAATACAGCATACAATAATTTAGCACATCCATTCTCTCTTCATTTTATTTTAAAACACAAGCAGTTTAAATACAATAACATTGTAATTCAGTGTGTCTTTTTAACAGAATTGCATCGGCCATATTTGCTGCGCGAAACAAAGCCAATTTACTGCCGGGATCAGTATTTATCTGTTCAGCAACGAACCAATGTGCACGAATAAAACAGTGACGAACCTTGGCTGGCAAAGCCGCTCGCGCAGCAAATGTGGCAGATGCAATTCCGTTGAGAGACATACTGAATTGTAATGTTATTGTATTTAAACTGCTAGTTCATCACTAACTTCAACTAAACCCCCTAAAACTCGGAACTTCTATGAAGGAACGCGCAGAGGAGCGTCGATGCCGCGGGAGACATCGAACAAACTGCGCAAACACATGACCCGCGTGTCAACATGCGCCTAGAAGATTGTAAGTTGTGCGTATGAACTATGCTTTAGTGTGTCCCTGCACTATATATCAGCCTGTAACTCGTTCGCATACAGACACTGTCGCTAATTGGCACACGCTTGCACCATTCAGGTACGGACCCTGTCGTTTGCTGACAGGCGCGTAGATCTTCGAGAAGATGAAGACCCTAAACCACTCGCCCCTCCTATAAGCTCGGAGGATTGTCCGGCGCCTGCAGAAGAAGGAGGTCCAGCTCATGGCAGCTCAGGCCCAAGCACAAGGAGCTACCTGAGCACCAGAGTCAGGGTGCTGCATACGGGCCACATTGAGGGAGCGGCTAATAGACATGGGTGACCCCAGTGAAAACATCCACAAGGTGTTCGATCATCTGGAAGATGATGATGGCGTGTGAAGGACCATGTCGAAGGATTTCTAGATAATCCACAAAATAAATAAATACTCGATATTAACATAAAGAAGAAGAAAACTTCGATAATATCTTTATTGTAAAAGGCATCATGGCAATCATGCGGAGTGCGCAAAACTACTTGCGTGTTCCAATATTTACTCGGCACAGTATGTACACATGAACACCGCTCGCTTTACGAGTAATATTGCTTTTCTACTCAGGTATTATGATAGGACTGGAAAATATTTTGAATGGTGAGAACTGTTTATGTGTAGAATGAGTACTGACAACCTGGATATGTTTGTGTGTTTGTGTGTTTGCGTGTGTTTTGTAGGAGGAATAAGCAGTATGGTTGTATTTGTGTGTTTGTGTGTTATATTGACGATATGAATATGAATGAATCTGTGCGTTTGTATGTGTGTAGTATGAGTAATGCCAATATGGTTGTATTTATGTGTCTGTGCGTGTTATTTGAGTGATGAGGATATGAGCATACCTGTGCATTTGGCGTGTGCAGTATGATTAATGATAATATGGTTATATATCTAATTGTGTATGTTATATGGGTGGTGAGAATATGAATAGATCTGCGTGTTTATCTGAGTGTATGAGTAATGACAATATGGTTGTATTCGTGTGTTTGTGTATGTCACATGAACGGTAAAAATATGAACGTATCTGTGTGTTTGTGTTTGAGTTGTATGAGAGTGATAATACGGCTGTGTTTGCATTGCGATGTGTGATTGTGCGTGTGCGTGTCTTGTATAAGTGGTGAAGGGTGTGTATGTACTTGTGTTGGCACGGGCAATTGTCAAGTGTACGAGTGGGACAGTTGGAAGAGTGGCTAGCAGGTACGTGTTGTGTTTATTTGTGTTGTATGGATGCTTGGGTTCTAAAGTAGTCGTTGGTGTGTTAATAATATCTATAAGTTCTGTTCTCATACTCTAATTGTACACTGCATCATTCGCTGGCAGTCTGATCATATCATTCGCTGGCAGTCTGATCATTGGCTCAAGACTACGAGGCCAAGAAAAGATTACACGGCAGGATAACAAGGCTAAAACCCTCAAAGTTTGAAGTGAAGACTTTTGAAATACGCTTCTTCGGCCCAAAATATGGTTCAAATTGGTAGACACATACATACACATACGTATAGTCACATACATATACACATAATTCTGGCTTGTTCGACACCTCACCATAAGTATAGGTGCATAGCTCTATAAAATGTGGCGCACATATCTACCTACCTACACCAATGTGCATTCCATTCAAACAAACCAAACTAATGTTGCGCATACATCGATCTACACCAATGTGCATCCCAGTCAAACAAACTCAACTTATGTTACGCATATATCTTGCTACACCAATGTGCATCTCAGGTAAATGAACTAAGCTAGTTCCTTACCAACTATCCCACTATCAACAAGTCCAGATTCCCAAGGTCATATAACTGGACGTCCAGCTGTGGCGGGGGTTTGCGGCGTCAACAGAAGTGCCTCTGTGGGTGCCGAAGTGTGGGATGAAGTGAGTCAGCTGATTGATTTGTTCCGTAACGCCGCCTTCGATGACTATTTCAAGTCAGACGCACGGTACGTCTCCTGTGGTTGAGGTGGTAAATGTGGTGTTATGCGGATGTGTCATTTGACGTTCTTGTGCATAAGGTAGTGTATGAGATGTTATTTGCATATACCATTTCACGTATACAAACAGTTGTTTCCTTGTAGAGTGAAGTTTTGTCCAATGTCAGTCTGTTTGTCGTGCTTGTCTTATGATGCATCTCTGTATTTACCAATGGACGCCCAACGTAGCTTGTTGATAGATTTCTTGTATTGTGATATTGAAACATCTCGTTAAAGACAGCAGTGCAATTCGTTCCAGGCTCTATATGAACGGATATCCTATCAGATACAGTTGCTGCAATACGTACTACGGGATATCCCGCACAACCCCATTCTTATCTGCGCATTAGCACCTTCAAACACGGAGCACCGGTTGTTGCAAAGGCAGTGTTTGTGTTCGTGTTTTGAATCTTCACTGAAATTTGTGGATTCGGATGTAAAGCGTTATGTAGATAGAAAGGTAACCTACACATGTATAAACTTACACGGCATGGCGGAGTACAAACGGTGTACTGTACTCATCTACATCGCCCGTTTCTGAATACGTTAGACCTCTACTCGTGAATGGTGCACATATAACTATAGCAAACAAAAGGTGACAACAAACTTGTTGCTGAGCTAGATATGCACTGTGCCTGATATCTGGGTGGCACATGCAGATGTTCTCGATTGATCGGTAATTAATTTAACATAACTGCAGCTGTGTGTATTGTGTAATAATGGTTCTGCGGATGAATGAAACCAGACGTCAGTTGCAAGTGACTCTCCTAACATGCGAAGATAGTACATAACCTAACCGCATCTGCTGCCCAAAAATAATTTTGGGATGTTGTCTGAACACGCATATTTTCTCACCATAAATTCGAAAATCCCTCACAAATCGACAACCGTGCTGAATATGGTAGGCTCCAGAAGCACGTGGATATTACGGCTTGCGGCGGTCGATCGGAACCCGCAACGCCGCAGGTAAGACAAATGGCAAATAGGGGAACACGTATGCATATATGTTCATTCATACACATGTTTATATGCACGTATTCGTGTATAATCAAACTATGCATATATATATATATATATATATATATATATTGGGTAAATTATTATGGTGCCACATTCTCCCTCTGACCACAGTCAAGGAAGTCTCAGCCTATACATTTTTACTATGCCGTCCTACTAACTACGTCGCACGCCGCACTAACTACTGCCTCGGAATCTCGATACCTTCCAACGTCAATGGAAGCATACCCCACTTGCGCAACATACGATTGCGAAACGTAGACTCCCTCGCAAACTTCAGGCAAACAATGACTTGCGACCGATACAACCGCTGCGAGAGCTCAATAGAAAAATGCTTCACGAGAATCTTCTCATGATCCTCGTGCAACTGAGCCTGGTGAAATGGAGCCGATGCAATAGCCGTCTGTGCTCTATCACAAAAGCCTTCCCATCTGCCCACACCGAACTTTTCGCGTCCGCCCATCGACAAGCCATCGGCGTGCGCCTCAACCGATGACCAATCTCCTGCCGGTACTCATGTGTCATCTCCTTCATCGGAGACCTATACGTCAACCACAGTTCATACTCCCCGTGCGGCCGGTAGCGAACAGCTTTCTGCTTTCCCGGTGGCGGCATATCGATCCCTTGAACATGCGCCTTGAGCTCATCTATCATATACGGGCGAACAACTCCAGGCGCTACCTCTACATCGTACTTCAAGTTCGGTAGAACCTCAACAATCTTCGCTGGGACATCATATCGTGCAGCCAAAGCGTGACCTGCACCTCTCGTATTTTATAACGAACCCAATCCCCCTCAACAAAAGCTGGCACGTCCACACGTTACAAATCAGCCACTGTACGTTGAGACTCCTGCGTACGCCGATCACGCTGCACGGCCACAGCATCACGCACCACAGCCTCAGCGCCACGCTCCGTCAACTCCTCCTCCAGTACTCGCTCCTGCAGCTGGTCCCGCTGAGCATGCAGAAATGTACGCCCAGTCATGTGAAAGTACGGAGAAAATCTCGTACCCGAGTTCACCGTCGCATTATAAGTCCACACCACATCATATACAGAGTGCACCCTGAACCCAACTTCCGCATTGTCCCCCGAAACTTCGCGTTTGAGCCAATCCTTCATCGTGCGAATGAGAAACTCTGCTCTTCCATTTCCCTGATGCCGGTCTATTGACACATAATGCGGTAAATCTGCCCAGCTTCGCAAATGTTAAGCATAGCATTCGTGTTGAACACTGAATCAGCATCCATAGTGATCCTATGCGGAACTCCCAAGGCCAGAATTCCTCGATTTATCTGGCCTCTTTATAGGTCTCTCCCAAATGACGGCCACGAATAATGCAAACATTGATGGCGCTAGAGTGCCCGCGGTAGCAAGTCCAGCATGGCTCAAAAAGCAGCAAGTGCAAGATACATACGCTGTGGTGGCTGACATTGTAAATGTACTTTGTGTTACATTCGAGTGGTCTTCTGTCTATACCCTGTGTATACTATATATATATACATATATATACGTTTATATATATATATATATATATATATATATATATATATATGTATATATATATATATATATATATATATATATATATATTATATAAATACACGCACACCTATGTATATATATATATACATATGTATGTTATATATATATATATAT